ATTGTTAGTACATAGAAACTATGCAAAAGGATTATAACAGATATAAGCGCTATTTTTGCATAGCTTTATCAGTAAGTGTTCAGATATTTATTAACAGAACATCATTATAAATATATATACACAGACATTGCTGACTTTTTCAAAGGCAGCATTCATGCTGAAGTGTATATGAACAACTCACAGCAAAAACACACCGGTCCTGCTGAAAACCTCCCATAATAAAAAGGCGGAAGTGTCAGATATAGATTTTGGGGACTAAGAATGAATTTATGCAATCAACATTTCCATTTCAGTCCTCCTGAGTTCAAAAATATTTCAGGAGCACTGCTAAAAAAAGGAGAAGGTCCAATTCTACACAGCTCTTTAAATACTGTGGGCTGTAAAGAAGAAGAAAAAATTTGTGCAAAGCAGGCTCCAACAGAGGGCACAAGCTGCTTTAATCAGAAAATATGTTTAAATACAACTGTGATGCAACTGAACATGAAAGTTAACTAATAAAACCATTACTGGTTTTATAGATTTACCGGTAACAACTTATGTTGTGGTAAAATTGACTCTTTGCGGGTGCAGCAGGGGCATGAGGTGCATCCTGTTGTCATTTACAGTAGGATTTTAATTTTAAATGTCATCAGTCCATGAGGCACAGGATGTAATTTTCACATTGTGGTAAGTGCAAACAGATGCATACTGAACAATTGCTCTTTGCATTTCCTGGACCTGGCATATTATTAATGAGCTTTTCCTGTCAGAAGCTGACACAGTTAAAAAAGAGAAGTTAGAAATTGCATAAAATTTGCTTTTCTTTTTACCATCATTGTGACATCATTGCCAGGCTTATGATGGTGATATGATGGACAGTAACACAAAAAAACACAGAAGCTGTACAACTATTGGGGACATTTTTTACTTTCCTTATTTTATTTATTTGGATAATTTTCAAAAAGTTCACTATACAAACTCATTGTAAACTGGACTGGACGATGCTTTGTGTCTTGCAAAACAATAAGCATGTTGTCATTGTGGGATTTTTCTTTGAACTTAACAAATAGCTGGACATTTTGGTTTAATGTAATCCAAAACTGCAGAGGAAAATCCCTTTCATTTAGGTTCATGAGGAAAACAAATTACTGGCAGTGCAAGAAGTGTGATTAAGACATTCAACTTCATATGCCTCATATATTATTTTCATTCTTTTGTAATAAAACAACACAAACAAGTGCATAATATTTAACAGGAAGGATTCAGAAAGCGATGTATCATGTCTAAAAAAAGTTGACTTGTGTGTAATTTAGGTAAATTCAAACAGCATTTCTGGTCAAAGGAACACAACAGCTGGTGGCAGAATCATAGTGTGGGCATATTTTTCTTTAGCAAGAATAAGGAAGCATTTTGACGGAAAGATGGAGAGTTAAAACAGGGCAGTTTTGAGTTAAAGTTGGGGCAAAAGTTCACCTTCCAGCAAACAATCAGAGCTGCAATAGAAAATGTAGATCAAAGTTTATATATGTGTTTACAAAGACCCAGTGAACAACTAATCCTACATTTCTGAAACATTAGTAGCATAATTTAATATGACTGTTGTGCTCAGGAACTTTCAGTCAAATTTATGGGTATATTAACCATTTCATTAAGACGAATGGGTAAGGATATCAGGCTGTAAACGTGCAAAGCTGACAGAGATATAGAACAACAAATATGCAGCTGCAACTACAGAGGAAAGGTAATTCTACATAGTGACTCAGCACGTCTGAACACACATATTTGTCACACTTTGCTTGGTTTCTATTCCTAAAAACCTTTGAAACTCAGTTATCTATTTAATTCTGCTTACAATTTGCACAACTTTGTGTTAGTCTTTCACTTAAAATCCCAATTAGATAAAATGTAGTGAATATGTAAGACAGCCAATAACATTATACATAACATTACCACAGAAAGAAGAATGGGGCATACAATAAGTTTCATTTTGACTTTAATAATCCATATTTATAATGTTAACAAGCAAATAAAGCTTAATTTCAGAAGTGTAACAAACACGCACAATCCACCTTGACTGTTCAATATTCAAGCACTAATTTTAAGCAACAGCCCATATTTTTCCCAAAGTTTTTTTTTATGTAAGAACTGTAATTAGCCTCTTAGCCTTCACAGAAAGTTTACACCTACTTTAAAGGAATTGTTTTGTATGGGTGTTTGCATGCATGTGAATGTGCCAAAACATGCCAGAGGAAGTGTATGTTATGCTGAACTGTGTCATTATGTGTCAGGAAACGACATGACCAGGCGGCTTCTCTTCAATGCTTAAGAAAATGACTGTAATCCAAGCTGCAGTATGAATGCAATTTTAATGTGTTTTAGGTCATGTCTGTGTTAATTTCTAAGTCAAACATGTTTTTTAAACTGTTTTTGTCTCACTTTAACACCTCTTTTTTTAGTATATGTAAGTTATACAACTGTACATAATTGCATTTTATCCAAATTCAATTACAACACTTGCTTAAAAATGCTAAGTTTAACTCATAATGCACAATCTTAGCATACAGTATAATTCAGAAACATGACAAGACTCTCTCTTGATGCTATGTAAGGACAGTTTTCTCATCATAACATCCAAACAAAGATTATATACAGTGGTGACTATAAAAAAACTGACACCAGGTTTTTATAAGGTGTCACTTAACTGTAATAACCATAACTCTACAGAAATTCCCTCTGCATGTCAATGAACCCTCTGTCAGAGGCTCTTGCGAGAAACAACATAATAAACTAAGTTTCCTGCTGCCCTCATGTGGCAAATCACAGAACTGCATGTAAAGAAAATCATTTCCTTGTTCAATATGATTTTGCACATCGGCACTTTACAAGTTTTCAACTACAAGCTCATAGTTATTTAATAACTATTGTCATTTAATTATTTGATAAGGAGCAGTGAATTTTTTTTGATGTTCTGAAATTTTTTTTTTTTTTTGCAGAAAACTCCAACATCATCATTTTGAAAGCTTTACAGGGAATAGGCTCAGAGCTAATCAGAGGACATTTAGGCAGTCATATTTTTTTCAGCTACTTGAAACGAGAGCAGAACCTTACAATACAAAGGGTTTATGTTAAAATGCAGATCAGGCTTCAGGTAGGCAGCCATGAACTAACAAAAATGCATTTATAGAACACAAAAACTCAAGGGCAGAACGAAGCCACGTCAAAGAAAGTAATGCACAGTTTAAAACACAGGGCAAGAATAACAAGTTAACATATGGATAAAGACATGTGAGCATGGGCGGTTGTAGATGGGGGTCAACAGGAACCTGTCATGTCCAAATAAACTGACTTAGCCTTAGACATAGACAAACTTTAATGTTTAAATTACATTGCCTAAAGCTTCCAACAGGGAAATTAGCAGCTTACAACAATGAAATTAACATTACCATTTAAAGTACAGCAGTGGTCCTCATGTAAACAGTATAGGAGAAAACAAAAACCAGTTTTATAAATATTGGTGCAAAAGGACATATATATGGAAAGGGTCAGTGCTGTGCAAAAATAGCATTGAGTTGTGTCCTAAAAACACACGAAAACTTATATTGCATATGTATAACTTTCTTTTATTCAGAGATTAGGGAAAAATAATTCAGAGATGTAAAGCTCATAATCTAAATATTGATCTAAAAAAGGGGTCACCAACCTTTTAAAAGCTTAGAACTACTTTATGGGTACTGAGTCGTTTGAAGGGCTACCAATACAGACCTATGAACTGGAGGAGTCAGTATTCACCTGAATTTTATTTTGAAATCCCTATAAATGCTTAAATGCCCTATATGATTAATATGATGAAATGCTCTATAAATGATTAAAAAAGAATAAAATCAAATCTCTAACCTTGAGGTCTTCAACAGGGGGTCCGTGACCCCTAGGGGGTCCATGGAGGTACTGGCTGGCAGTCATGAAAGTTTTTGTTGAGAAGACTTTAAAAAAAAAAATTTTTCCAGTAATTGAAATGTCTTTAAATACACATTAAGCTGAATTCCAATCACTGTAGTAAACAGATAACTGGAGGCAGAAGATGTCTTTAAGTCATCAATGCACACATTCAGAGACTCACAGGAGCTCTTTCAAGCTGGACACCATTTCATTCACAACACCTGTCCCATAAATGAAGAATCAGAATGAGAAATACTTTAATAATCACAGGGCGAAATTACTTTGTTTACATGACTCCATCTGTAATAGAGGTCCTTGAGGGCCCCCTGGTGACCCCTGATCTAAACAATCAGTTCATTTAACCCTCAGGGAGGAGGGGTGGTTTGAAAAAAAGTATTCTTTCTTGAAAGAAATCAATAAGAACTTGCTTTAAAATGGAAAAAATCCATTTAGGAAACACAACCAAGGAGGATAAAACAAATAGGATCTGGTCAGGTGAGGTTAAATTACAGCTTCAAGTCTACAGTAGCTACCTACAGTACAAGATTCCAGGTGGACATTATAATCCGGTGTGGCAGCAGGAGACTTTTTTTCTTAGACAGGGATAGGGAAGCAATCTGAGCTAGTTGGTAGGTGGATGGAGAAAAATATGTGGCAAAAGTTTTGGAAGAAAACCTGACAGAAAAGTGGAAATCCCTAAAAAGCTCCCATGGTCTCAGGATTGGTTGATTTAGCCCAGTAAGTGCGCATTATGACCAAGGATGAGTGAGTTTGTGATAAACACCTGTTACACTGCTGATGCATTTAAATAAAACAGTAAAAGTGAATATGAAATCTTCTTCGACAAATATAAATTCATGCTTTTCAAAATCCCTCTTTATAAAATTCTAATTATTTTAATTTGAATAACGTGTTGTCACAAATAATAAGGGTTTACTTAACGCGAGGCAAAGCATATTTGGACAATGTTTTTCACACAGATGAGGTTTATGTTATGTTAAACTCTAAATCCTCCAGGAAGTCTTGGGAGCGGTGTGATCGGAGCCCTTCAGCCCCGCTAAGGCAGCCTCCGCGCGGCTGTTGCTGGGAGCTCCGGCCAATCAAAGCCGCAGCTCTCCGGAGCAGGTGGCTGAGGAAGCATGACATCATGCACGGCTCTGTCTCTCCCAGCTGCAAACTCAGACCGAAACATAAATGCGTCCCCGCAGCACTAGAAGACGCGTCCTTCATGCACAGTGAGATTTGACGCAGCTTTCAGCGGATTCTGTGATAAGAGGCGCTGATGCGCGCGCGCCAGAGACAAGGGGGGCAGAGGAATGGCGGACGGGGACGGCGCCGAGTCTGTGGAGTGGGACAGCGGTAATCGAGCCTTCAGTGCGTAACCTGTGCATCCTGTGGAGCCTGGCTGTCTTCATGGATCCAGAAAAGACTCTGACTTTCTGCCTTGGGCTGCAGGCTAATGAGGTAAAACACTGCGCAGGTTTTTGCTGCTGTCAACAGCTGGGCTGGAGTGACTCTGCACAGCAACATGCTGGCCTTTACCTGGCTCTTCTACATTTTGATTGTTACCAACTCTTTAACATTATGCGTGGCTCAAGGGCATTAAAATCAGATACAATTAGGTAAATGTGTTCATTAAAGTCAGTCATCTTATTTTAATCTTGCACAGAGGCGTAGCCAGATTTTATTTTTATAAGGGTGGCCAGGAAATAACCAAGAACCAGAACCTCAGGGTCAATGGCGGCTGGTGAAAAATATTTTTGGTGGGGCTGATATAGCCTAGTGTATGTCTCCAACTAATCCGGAATAAGAATTCAAATAAACAATTGGACAATACATACAATTTAACAGTAATGATTTAATTTACTATATAATAACAGTAACAGTGATGATTTGGGTCACTGTGACGGGGTTCTTTGGCCTCCAAGAATCCAGTCTCAGTCGGGTTACCGGTGTTGGTGATTTATTGAGCTCAAAAACTCAAAACAGGGTGCAAAAGAAACTAAACATGTACAAGATACTCTGGGCCTCAGCCTCCCTCCAGTTACCAGCAATGTAACAAAGAAACAGAAAACAAAAATTGCCGCTTTTCTTCCCACAGCCCTCATTAAATAGTTTAAGCCCCTCCCCTCAGGCTCTCTTATTTCTGATTTCTTCTCATTAATCAGTTTTGTCCATATATTACCTCCACAAACAATTGATGTACAAAAACAAATAATTTTTACAACTTAATTCTTTTACACAGATTCATTGACTTATTCAATTACACCAAACTGGGTTTGAACCCAGCAAAGACGCAGCCAGACTGAAGATGACAAGTCCCCGTAGCATAAACACGTACACACCCACACCCCCCACACACCCACACACACACACACGGCTAACCCCACTGAAATATTAAGTGTGCACCCTCAATACGCCAGCAGGTAACCAGGAACAGCTTGTGTGTTTTAAGTTCATGGAGCTACTGGTCTCAGCGCGAGTGTATTGGTCCTCACAAACACAGTATAACAAGAATGTGTGTGTGGTGCGCAAAGTTAGAGAGGTTGTTTTAAGCGACGAGGTGGATTCGTCACAGTCACAATAACCATGACATGAAATGTTCATATCCTACAACAGGGATATTCTTCTGGCAAACGGGTAGATAAATAAGGATCTCACCGAATTTGGTGGAAGCTACATCTCGGTCGTTACATTCGCCATCTTCCCTCTAATTGTCTGCACCTGCGCTTGGGTTCAGAAGCCTGTTAAAGCGCAGTATTTTCAGCGCCCCAATACCATAAAGTTCCGAGACGCTGATTGGCCATTAAATTCACCTAGCAATAGTACATGATTGACAGATTCTCTGCAAATGTGGGTCAGTCTGATCAGCGCCCCCAGAACAGAGACGGTAGGAGTCTGTCTGTGGAAATCCACAAATTAATGACAGTAGATAGGGAAATGTAGTTTATATAATTTGTTTTGCTTATAGGTACACAGTCTAGAGAGTAAAACTGACATTTATGAGTTAATTTCTAAAAATATATTTACGTTTCTCTCTTCTTATCAGGGAGGGCGGTGCCCCAGTGCCCCCTATGGGCCGGCCGCCACTGATCTACACTGTTCCAACAGGAACAAGCACAACTTACATTTCTAAATAAATACTAACTATAGTTTCCTACAGCCTTTGCTAGCAATAGATGCATATATTTAAAAATCAGTCTAGATAAAAGGTATAGTGGATAAAATTCTTTGAGGTTTGAGTTCTGGAGCGAACACCTTTTCCATTGTCACTACTTACCTACTTTTATCAATAATATTCTACATTAAATTGATATTTACAAGTACTAATATCTACATAAATTGATAATTTAATAGCATTTTATTCAAATAGTTATTTAAAGTATCTATGATTTCAATGAAGACTCTTAGATGACTTGCAGAGACACATAATTTTCTCTTCACAGCATATAAAACAAAATCTAGTTCTGAAAGAGCATGAATTCTGTACTAATCATCTCTACTGTTAGTAAATTGTTGTGCATAATTGACCACAGTGTTTTTGTTGTCAAGTATTTGTTAATATATATAAAATTTAAATGTTTTGAATAGTCTACTTGAGAGAAAAAAATGGTAGGGGTGGCCACAGGGGTGGCCAATGATTGGCTAAGGGTGGCCATGGCCCCCCATCTAGCTCCGCCCCTGATCTTGCAGGCAAACACAATGTAAATACTTAGTGTGGTAAAACTTGATCAAGTAGATTACATTTGTAGGAATTCTCATCAGCATGTCTATAAATCCACAAAAAAAGAAAAAAAAAATGATTGGGTTAGCTTTATATAAGACATAAGATTATTATTTTTTCTTTCAAGGCCGCAAAAAGGGACATAAAAGAAAAATTAATTTTCACTAAAGAAAATAAATCATGCACCTTTTGAATGTGCTTAATTATATCTATATATATATTAAATATATCTTATATATATTAAAGTAACTAAATGTAAACTAGATGTAAAACCCCCCCACTATTTTCACTATAGAAATTGTTTTCTAAATCCCTCATTTATTGATATATAGTTTTTATTAAACAGACCTGTTCAAAGCAAAGAGTAAACAGTTACCAAATTGATTAGTAGTTTTTTTATGTTAAAATCTACGGTTGTTGGTGGTTCAACCCACTGTAACGTAACACATGATATATAAGCTGGTTAATTTCAGGCCACAAGAGTCTTAAAAAAGTATTATGTAAATAAAGGCTATATATATATATATATATATATATATATATATATATATATATATATATATATATATTTTTTTTTTTTTTTTTTTTTTTTTTTTCACTAAATATATATATAGTAACCAGGCCATGTTAACGTTTACGATGGGTCACAAAAATATGTTTGAGGTTTTATTTCGTCCCAATTTTCCTGTTTGAGGTTGTAGTTTTCTCATTGTGTTGCAATAAACAGGACGTTCCTGTACCTGTGTTTCCTCTCCAGCACCTGTCTGTCATGTGTGCAGGATTTGGTGTATCATTCTGCTGCTGAAACATCAGTGGGTCTCTCTGTGGGGAATTTTTCTCCATTAATGTCGATGGCCTGTTAGGCCTTGCAGTGCTTCGTTATGTCTGAATGTGGTATTTGATTTTATTTGACATTGTTGGAGTTATGAAAGATTTATTGACAGTATGACTGCAATTCAATTCAGCTTGTTTATATAGCGCCAACATCTCAAGTAGGGGTGGGTATTGCCAAAGGAGTCACGATTCGATTCGAATCACGATTCACATGCCACGATGCGATTCTATCACGATGCATCACGATACTTGAATTATTGCGATGCATTGTAATATTTTCTCCTCCATGTTTTGTTTTTGAATGACTCGGCGCAGTAGAAATGCTTGTGACACAAGGCAGCGTGCGTCAACACATCCGCAGCGACATCTACTGGACTGGAAGTTGTATTACACTTGTTTTTGGCTGATGTTCGCCAACCATTCATGCAATTTTATTTACTCATTTTTTTAAATTAATAATCGATACTTGGCGTTCAGAATCGATGCAGTAGATCATGAAAATTAGAATCACGATGCATCATCATGACGATTATTTTGCACACCCCTAATCTCAAGGCACGTTGCAGTTCACCAGATCATACAGTCAAATTGATTCAAAGTTTTCTATCAAAGGAAAACCAGTTGATTGCATTGACTCATTGACTTAAATGCAATCCCTCACACTAAGCATGCTTGTAGTGACAGTGGAGAGGAAAAACTGCCTTTTAACAGGAAGAAACCTCCAGCAGAACCAGTATCAGTGTGAGCGGCCATCTGCTGAGGCCAACTGTAAGGAGACAGAAGCAGAGATACAAAAAGCAGCTGTAAAAGGCGGCCCTGTCCAGGAAACACACAGCCAGGCAGACGAGCTCCGACCCAGCCCCCATGTCAGAGGATGAAGAGGGCACATCCAGCCAGTCACAGTCAGAGAAACAGGACTACACTGGAAAACAGGCCGATCTCCAACATCTTAAACAAGGGTTTTGATGGCAGCATTACAGCTGATATTTCTCTCCAGGATGGTGTCACAGACGAGGCAAAGCTACTATGAGAAAAAGCTGAGAGAGCATAAGGTTAGAGATTGAACTAACATTTTCTGCAGAGTGGGAGAATAGAGATAGAATGAAGAAGAATGATGAAATGGGGGTCCCTATGTCCTCCAGAAGTCTAAGCCTGTAGCAGAATAACTATAGAGATAGATCAGGATAACTTCAGCCACTCTAACTATAAGCCTTATCAAAAAGGAAAGTTTTAAGCCTAGCCTTAAAAGTAGACAGGGTGTCTGTCTCACGGACTAAAACTGGTAGTTGGTTCCACAGGAGAGGAGCCTGATAACTAAAAGATCTGCCTCCCATTCTACTTTTAGAAATTCTAGGAACCACTGCAGAATACTGTCCGTTCTCTGATCAACAAGCATAGCCTCTCTGTTAGTTTATTTAAATTATTCTTTATACTGGGATATCATTTGCGGCTTTGCCTGTATTATTTCAATAAGCCTTTCTGTTGAAATTAATCTTGAAAATCACAACTGGCAGGTTCTTGTTAAATTAACCAATTTCAGCTAATTAGAAAATAGTTTTTTTCTTTTTTTTGCTTTCCAAAAAAGTTAATATAATTAATGATTTATTTTGGTTTTGAAATGATAAGATCATTTTCTATTTTGCTTAAACTGTAAGAGTGAAGAAAGAGGTGGCGAGAGGTGAGGTATTGATGACCAATTGGTAACTTTAAAGCATTGGTTTAACACGGGTCCCTCATTCAGTTTGGATTTTTCTTTTTGTTTGCTTTTTTTGAGTGCTTTGAGGGGAACTGTACTGCAGATCATTTGAGGTTTTTTGGTGGTCTCTGAGTGACTCCCCCTCCCTCTCATGCTTGCTTTAATGCCACGTGGTGGCCTTACCACAGGAACTCTAAATGACAAAAGTAT